GACTTGTGATGAAGGGGAAGTCATTTCTTTATGCATTTCTTTTCTTCTTTTTACTATATTCTTTTTTTCTTTCTATTTTTTTATTTTTCGCACTATTTTTGTATTCCTTTAATTTGTATTAGTTTATATCTTTTTAATTGTAATGTTTAATAAAATTACTGTAAAAAACAACCACCACCCTGTGAGGTGGGTTGAACCGAGAGAGGACTGGCCTAAAGTCACTTAGCCAGCTTTCATGCCTTAGAGAGGATTAGAACTCACAATCTCTGGGTTTCTAGTCCAGCACCTTAACCCTGGGCTGTCATATCTGGTGGCAGAGAGTTTCAGTGGCTAATTTTGTGCTGGGTCAAGAATTTCTCTTTGATTGGTCCTGGATCTCCCTGTGTTTAATTTTTGTGGGTGGACTGGACTTCTGACATTGTGAAGAGAGAGAAAACGTTTTCTGTCCAGATGATTGACATACCAGAAAGCACATTTGGGGTGACATTCCTTCCTCCCCCCACTCACAGGTTAGCTTAAACAACAGTAACTATGAAATCCAAATATCCAGCTACATAGAGGTCACTTACAGTGATCAACAAATTCAAGTTACTCCTGACCTAGTTAGGTTTATCAAACACCTATTTAGGTTTATGGAATACCTATTCTGTTAAATTGGGTTCCCAGCGTAGGCTAAACCACAAGCGACCTAATCTAGGTTCATGGTAACCAAACTTCACTTCGATAGATAGATAGATAGATAGATAGATAGATAGATAGATAGATAGATAGATAGATAGATAGATAGATAGATATCCGTTGGGTTGTCAACTGACCTAGTTAAACCTGCTTGGTAAACAGCCTAGGATCGTGGGAACCCAGCCCAGTCCCAGCCTGCTGCCTGAGGCGGCCGCCGCGTCCAGCCCCGATCTGACCGGCTTCCGCGTAGCGTGTGAGCGCAGCAGCGGAGTTCTGCAAGCCGCGTTCAGCGCGGGGCAGTGATCGGTCGCGACTTACGCTACGCGCCGGCCTACCCCGGCATAGCAGTCTTGGGACGAGGCGGTCAGTCGCCAGGGGGACGCCGCGCCCCGGCCTCCCCGCGCAGCCGCCCACCCTCGGCCGCGCCTCCTTGCCCCTCACCGAAGCGCCGCCTCGACGCAACTTTGGGGAAAGTTTCGCCCGGGTCTCCGCGGCGGCTCCGTCGTTCCCCCCGACCGGGACCGTCCCCGCCTCCATGCTCTCCCGGTACGGGCACCGCGCCCTGGGCGCGCTGATGCTCCTGGGCACCGTGGCCGGCTTGACGGC